GAAATGTCAGAAATGATAAATTTGTGCTTTAACTCGTTTTTTAAAAAGTTAACTTTTAATTGCATAAGTAATATGTAAATATATTATCATTGTGAAAATTCAGATCTTACAGATAAGGCTTGAAGTGGCCCATGACCAATTCCCCAAATCTCTCTTCTCTCCACAGTAACCTCTGTCATCTGTTGCTTTGTAACTCTGAAGACTTTTCTGCGCAGCCACACACACACACACACACACACACACACACACACACACACACACACACACACACACACACGTACACGTACACGTGCATTTTGTTGCACATTTTAAATATAAATAATATAACTTTATGTAGCATAAATCTAGAGGGAGTGAACATTTAGAAGGAATAAATATCACCAAATTGTTTCCCAAAGTGGCTCTATCCATTTAAATTATGAAAGCACCTTGTTATTACATCAGTTACAAACAGCACAGAGATGTTTGCCAGCCTGATGGGTGAAGAATGGCATGTCATCTTCATTGCATTTCCCGAATCAGTAATGAGGCTGAGCAGCCTTTCCTGTGTGTCTCTGCCTTTGCCATGGGCTCTTTTGTGAATAATGTGCTCCTGTCCTTTGCACAATATTCTGTTTTCTGTTAGATTTTTATACTGGTTTTTAGGTACTGTTTTTACTGATTTTTAGGAATTAAAAAGTAATTCTGGTTATTAATCCTTTGTGTTTTAGAATGTTACCTGTTACATGACTTTTAACAGTCTTGGTTGAACAGAAACTTTAATTTTGGGAACACTCAGTTTTACGAATTTTTGTGTTGTTGTTGGTATGTTTTACATTTTGTCTTTTTAAGGCCTTCCCTAATGTAAGGTTTTGTATATGTATATACACTATTCTCATGCTTTTGTAGTTTTGTTTTGGTTTAACCTATTTGAATTGTTTTATTTTCCTTTTTTTTGTGCGAACAGAGTAGCATAGGCATCCAACTTACCTTTCTCCAGATAGATGGCCGGTTGTATTAGTGAGAGTGATTAGGCGAGCTGTGATGAAAAGGAACCCTCTCAACCCACTGGCACAGCACAATGGAGCATAAGTTAAATTGAGAAAGTTACTCAGGATCCCAGTTTGTTCCGCTCTAGAATGTGGCCCTCAGAGGAGCTGAGGGGAACGGGTTGGAGGATGGTCTTGGAGGTTGTTATGGTCCTGCTTGGAAGTCGCTGTCTTCCCTTCCCCTCCAGCCCATGGGCCGGAGTAGCTGGGTGGCCCTGCCTGGCCAGCACGGGACCAGGTAGGTCAAGTCCAGCTGTGGGCCCAGGGTAACGGGGGACACGGCAGGCGCGAGCCCTGGCCACTCGGCCCCACCAGTGCTCTGGGCTGTTAAGGGAGGTGTTGCTTGATCAGATTCTAAATGCCTGTGCCTGTGCGGATCTGTTCTTGGATTCTCTGTTCTGGTTTCTTAGCCATTTTTCTATTTTTTCATCCGCCCTCTTTTAATTACTCTGGCCTTATAGTATATTTTGCCGTCTGGAAAGACAAGTGCCGCTGCCTTGTTCTTTTTCATTTATTTCTTTAGAATGGACAGGACCTTCTCATGGTTCAGAAACATTACGGATATGAGCATTTCAGTTTAAACCAGAGCCCTCTGAAGCGGCCGTGTTGATTCACGTTTCCCTTTCCTCAGGGCACGTGCCAGTGGTGATAGGGACGGGCCAGGCACTGTGAGGCACACCATGGGTGTGGGCTCGTTTAATCCTCACATAAGGCCGTGACTTGTGTCCCCTCCTCTCACAGGCGGGGAAAGCAAGGCCCAGGGAGGCCCACTGACCCTCACCAACACCTGATATTTTCACCCTTGACCGTTTGGGGCCATGTGATGAGTCGTTCCTGCGGGGAGGCATTTGTGCTTGCACACGTGGAAGCCCCTCAGTGCCCATCGGGAGGGTGTGGTGGGGTGGGCTGAGCACAGCAGTCAGAAAATGTGGGCAGGTAGCTGTGTGCTGACTTGCGTCTAAAACTTAACCATTTAGAGACCAGAAGCTGCAGAACAGTGTATATGCCTTGTACTGTTGTCACCAGGCCTTTGGATTTCCCTGAATGCACATGTATGTACATCCTTGCATAGAAAAGGGCTGGAGGGGTTCTTACACCCCTGAGAACACTTATCTCTGAGGCAGGGGACTGGGATAGAGGGAATGCAGCGTCTGAGGTGTGAAATGTATTTAAATATTACTCTTGTGGTTGCTAAAGGTATAGTTTCCATAGCCCCTCACCCCTAAGCTTCCTAGGTTCTCCCCAGGGAGCCTGGAGGGGGCCCCCTCCATTACCTGTCTGCATCTGTCTCCTGCAAGGGGCATTTTGAGGGTCACGACCACATGGGTCTTACTTGCATCCCCAGTGCCTGGCTGAGGTCTCACTCTTGTCAAGGGCCCCTGCTGCTTTCCTTCAGTGACGGCACAGCCTAGTTCTGGATGGGCTTGCAGTCTGCCCCCTCCATCCCCTCCCCAGGAGACACTGATCTTCCTCCTGTCCCTGTAAGTTAGCTTTGCCCATTCTAGAATTTCACAGACGTGGAAACATACAGTTAAGTACACTCTTTAGTGCATTCACACTGTAAGTTCCCAGCTCCGTGCATGTTCACTCCCTGAACATACCTAGAGCAAGGAATAAACCAGCACTCCTGAAGCCCCTCTCACTTAGCATCCCCACCCCCGCCCCCCAAAGGTAACCACTTTGGCTTCTATCACCGCTGATTACTCTTGCCTGTGTTTCAGATTTATTTAAGGGACCCATGTACTATGAACTCTTGCATCTGGCTTGTGAGATTCCTCTGTATTGTTGTAGCAGCAGCTGGTTCGTTCTCATGGCCATAGAGTATTCCTTTATGGGATACACCACAGAGTATTCATCTGTTCCGTTGTTGGGGGCATTTGGTTTTCCACTTTGGGGCTGTAGAGCACGAATCTGGAGTCATTGTGACCCAGCTCTTCTTGGTGAGTAGAGCCGCCATGAACATTCTTGTGTGCAGGAAGCTGAGATTTAAGACTAACGGCTCAGGAGCTTTTGGCCCTGGAGCAAACATGGTTTTGTTTTTTGTTTTTTTAGTTCTTTCCCAAAGGTCATACAGGAGTTGCAACCAGGATTGGAACTTGCTTTTATAAATGGGTCTTAATATGAGATGTGGAGGAGTGAGTCTCTCTGTGTGTTTTGGGGGGAACAGAATCTTAAGAGTGCAGATTAGACGGTACTTTCTTTCATGGTGTGGGTCATCCTCTGTATTTTGTGCCACTCTGGCTCAGGGAGAGGCCTGGCATTCTTCTCCCCCGCTGAACTGTCTGGTTTTCCTGTTTGTATCTAACTTTCCTCCTCTCTTTTATTTCCTTTTCTAGGCTGAAGCGTCTTCCACTAAGAAGGCAGTAATTGAATTCTGCCCTGGCCTGTCCCAGTACCGGATCTCCTCCAGGATGGAAGCTCATTGGTCACTTAGTTAATAGATTGTACAGATTGTATTTATATGTAAATTTTCTGTAAAATAATTCTTTTTAAAACCTTGACATTTCAAAGCTTGCCTTTGGAAGGTTGCTGAAATTGATTTCTATTTTTAACTTCTGTTAGTGTCAGAGGAAAAAACTCAGACTGTACAGTTTAATTAAAATGGCATTTTTCTATTTTTTTCTTGATTTTTCATTTCCTGAAACTTTAAAAAAGAAATGAAAAGCAAAGGCTTTTCTCTGGTTTTGTTGTGAAGAAAGCCAGGTTCAGATAAGGACAGTCTGACTTACTTAAGGACCCCTGTGGGAGGGAGGTGGTCACTTTCCCATGTTTTCCTGGGGAGTGTGGTTCCTCCCTCATGTGGTTGGTGCTGGTGGCCAGGAGCCAAGTGGGCAGCACAGTACCAGGATCCTGGCAGGTGGCCTCAGCCTCTCGGGGTAGATGCCACCAGAGTGTCTGAGAAAAACACTGGGACCAAGAGTGGAAGAGTGTGCGCCCACACCCTGGGTCACACAAGCTCCAGGTCTTTGCACTGCAGCCCTGGGTGCCTGCTCTGAGGCTGCCTCATCTTCCCTGATGAGACCTTTAGAAAAAGTAGAGTGCAGAGGTTTTTTTCTATTATCAAAGTAACATCGTAGAAAAATCAGAACAATTATAAAAGGAGGAAGAAGGAAGAAAATCATTTCTACTTCTGCCCGCCAGGGTTGCCAACCCTTGCTCTTTTGTTATAATTCCATGCAGTCATTTTCTAGCATTGTCTGCTCCCAGACAAGACGTGACTTTTTTTTTTAGAATTAATTAATTAATTAATCTATTTTTGGCTGTATTGGGTCTTCGTTGCTGCGCGTGGGCTTTCTCTAGTTGCGGTGAGTGGGGGCTACTCTTCGTTGCCGTGCGCAGGCTTCTCATTGCGGAGGTGTCTCTTGTTGTGGAGCACGGGCTCCAGGTGCACGGGCTTCAGTAGTTGTGGCTCGGCAGGCTCTAGAGCTCAGGCTCAGTAGCCGTGGCGCACTAGCTTAGTTGCTCCGTGGCATGTGGGATCTTCCGGGACCAGGGATCGAACCTGTGTCCCCTGCATTGGCAGGGGGGGGGTAAACCACTGCACCACCAGGGGAGTCCCAAGAGGTGACATTTTGTTCTTTGGTATTTCATTGGCATTATGACAGGTATTTCCCTCACGTGCTTATATATTTTGTGTACCTACCCGTAACAGCTGCATCTTAATTAATCCTGGGCACATTCTGTAATTTATGGACTGTTTCTCTGTTGTTGACGGTGAAGTGGGTTGGCCAGGAGCCCCCTACAAAGGCAGAAGACACACAGATCATTCCAGGAGGCGGAGCCAGGAAGACCCTAAGCGAGGCCGCGAGGCTGGGGCCACCGGTTTCACACACTTGGCCATTTTTCTGTGGTTAACCGTATTGGGCGTTGAGCGGAAGCAGCGAGATCTCCGGGCTCAGGAAGGGCGCGTGGGTCCCAAGGTGGGGGCGTGGGCGCGTGGCGCCACCGTTCGTGGCCAGGCCGGGCTCCGAGATGGCCTCCCAGCCCCCGGGCGCCCCCAGCTCCGCAAAAGCCCTGGACCAGGACGGGAAGGCAGCGCTCCGGAGAAGTAACGTGCAGCTGTCCTCGCTCCACATCCGCGACGGCGCGCATCGGCCCCGCAAGCTGCCCTGGGTAGCCCTGGTCAGGGCCTGCGGCCGCTTCAAGCTCTTGCTCTTGGAGGTGCGGCGGGGCCGGCTGCTGTCCTCGCTTAACCCCCTGGCCGTGGGCAATGACTTGCCACCGCCGAAGAAGCACTGGATGCCTGAGAAGGCAGCGTTCTGGGGCGACCAGGAACCCCTCTCCAAGGTCAGAACCGCCCCCAAGGGGAGGGGGTGTGGCTTGTTCCCAACAGGTGGGGAGAGCTCAAGAGCCGGCAAGGGGACCTGGGAAGGAGCCACCTGGCTTGCTATGCCTGGGCCCAGTCCCCTGCCCCAGACACACCTAGTGGGCAGAGTGGCTGCCAGGGGCGGGGGCAGCTGGAGGAGAGGCCGGGTGGCCCAGGGAAACCATCCTAGGGGAGGGGGACCCCACCCAACCCAGACCCTGTGGGCTCTGGCTGAGCCTCCCAAATGTCCCCATGGTGACACTCCCAAGTGCATGCCCTGGGGTCAGTGAGGGAGCCCTGTCACCCATGAAACAGCACTAGAAGCAACAGAAAACTTAGAATAATAATAATACAGAAATAAAACCCCCAAAACACTACTTTGTATTCTAAATGATATTTGAGAGACAATGCATTGATGAAAAGAAGGCCTGTGGCTGGGAAGAAGAAATAATCTGTGAACAGAGAGAAGTCTTGGGGATGAAAAAGAGGATTTCCAAACGAAGGTCCTCCATGGAGGCTTTAAAATCAGAGCAGAGAACTGGAACAGAAAATTAGAAAACAAGTTCATGGGATTCTCTGAGAACTCAGAGCAAAAATATAAAGGAACAATAATTATGAGAGAAAAGAGAAGAGGAAGTCAGGGGAGATACAGAAGAGCCAGTAAATGTATGAGGTATTGGGGTGGGGGGAGGGGGCAGGAGGAGGAAAGAAATGCAGAAGGGAACAGGGAAACGTCCCTGGGCCGAAGAAAGACTGGAGCGCTCATGTGGAAAGACATAGTCAGGGCTTCCCTGGTGGCGCAGTGGTTGAGAGTCCGCCTGCCGATGCGGGGGACACGGGTTCGTGCCCGGGTCGGGGAAGATCCCACATGCCGCAGAGCGGCTGTGCCCATGAGCCATGGCCGCTGAGCATGCGCGTCCGGAGCCTGTGCACCGCAACGGGAGAAGAAAGACATAGTCAAGTTCACTGCAAGATTGGAGGGAAATAAAACCTACAGGTGGTGAATGCCTGCACTACAAGGATAGGAGCAAGGCTGTCCCTTTTCCAATGCAGATGGAAAAGCCTGCGATCAGACTGAGATGGAGGCTCCTTCAGCTGTCAGAGGACCTCGGAGCTGAGTCCACAACTGGGCCTGTTGAATGGCTGACTGTCTCAGCCAGGCCACAACAGGGGTGCATTGGGGTCTCCATGCGGAAGTCTGTTTGAAGAGAAAGCAGTGTGTGCCAGTGCTTTGCTTGCTTTTATTTGTGACAGTTATTCTGACTTTTAAGTAAAATTAAAGGAGAGCATAGGAGTTGTATTTTATTTCTGTTCTCCATAGAATACTCCCAAGATCCAAATTCAATAGATAAAAAAGGTTTGTGGGCAATTTTTGTTTTACAATTAAGTGTCTCCCCACGGACATAGTGTGTTCTCTGTGTGGTTGCCAAGGGGGAGGGAGGGTGGGGGAGGGATGGATTAGGAGTTTGGGATTATATATAGAAATGAATCACTTTGCTGTACACCAGAAACTAACACTGTAAATCAACTATACTTCAATAAAATAAATATTTAAAAAGAGTCTCCCTAGCACCACCACCACCCCCAACTACCCTCCTTCCCTCTACGGAGGCAACAAATGTTTCTAGTTTCCTCTGCATCGTTACAGAGATATTTTATGCACATACCAGCACATACATGTATATTCTGACCCCTCCGTTTTTTTACATAAATGGAAGCATATCTTAGACCTCTTCTGCACCTAGTTTTTAAACTTGTTTTTTTAAATTTATTTTAGAGATCTTTCCATATTTTTTTTTTTTAAGTTATTTATTTATTTTGGCTGCACAGGGTTTTAGTTGCGGCATGCAGGATCTTAGTTGTGGTAGGCATGCGGGATCTAGTTCCCCCCACCAGGGATCGAACCTGAACCCGGGCCCCCTACATTGGGAGCGTGGAGTCTTACCCACTGGACCACCAGGGAAGTCTCGAGGTCTCTCCATATTAGTAAGGAAACAGCTTCCTTGTTCTTTTTTTGTGGAGAGTATTCCATTGGCTGGCTGCCCCCTGATGGATTTAACCAGTCTTGGGTGCATACACATTCAGGTGGCTTAAGATTTTTTTTGGCCTGGGGTTTTTATGATCCATTAGGTTAACAGAAGTTGAGAAGTTATATAAAGCTCTGGGATAAAAGTATTCTTTTCTGTGGTGGACTGGCCGAGACAGTCAGCCATTTGACAGGCCCAGTATATTGAGAAGAGTATACCTAAAGTATTCTCTGCCTGGCCAAACTGCTGGTCCCTGATAAAACTCAGAAAGGATGCCTCTCTTTGAGGAAAAAGTTACTCAAGGGAATACTGTGGCAAACAACAAAAAAGTCAGAATTAAGAACTGGAGTAAGAAAAGGCGGTTTAGAATAAACAGAGGGGAGCAGTGACTGAAAACAGTACACCTTGGAAGTGTTTATACAGCAAGGTTAATGCAAGTTGTTTAGCTCAGTGAAAATGTTAACAAATTATCTTTTGAAGTGAAGGTGCACAATGCAAGAATAATAATGCTCCAGATGATTTCATCCAACAATCTGAGATGGTTTGCTAAAGAACATTCTCAATGATAATTCTTCATTCTTGGCCTTTAAACAAGGCACAGCCCGTCAGTCCGGCCTCCGGTGTCCTCGTTTTGTCCCCCTCCCCCAGAGGGGGCGGGTGTCTCTCCCTGCCCTCGGTCTAAAGCAGCGCTCACCTGGCTCTGGCCGTAACCTGGCATCGCGTGCCGCCTGTGCAGTGGCTGCCTCATCTCCCACCCTGGCCCCTGAGAGCAGGAGCCCGCCAAGCGCACTCCTTGTCTGGGGTCTTTGCTCCCCGGTTCCTGCTGCACCGCGGCACCGCGATCAAGGCCCGGCCAGGGAGGCGCAGGCAGATTTGTAGAACATATTTGTGGGACGCTACATATACCTAAAAAAGAGCTCACACTTTTTGCTTTTAGAAACATCGGACTGTCTTCTATATGCTAGTTTTGTTAGGGCCTCGGACAATGTACCTAGAGTACAAGAGTGTGGAACTTCTCTGCGTGGCTCCTGGGGCTCCCTCTCCATAATGCACTCCAAAAGTACTCCGCCCGGAAAGGTCCGGAAGCGGGTGGAGGGATTTCCCCGCTCTTGCTGTTTTCCCATACCAAAGTTCTGTTTTTGTGATGAGAAAAAGAACGAAGCCCCGAGAGCTTTGCCTCGAGGCAGAGACAGCTGCAGAGCAGGGAACTGAGGGTCGGCTGTCTCGACCGCAAGGCGCAGGCTTTGGTGGTGGAGCCTGGAGCAGACCACTGACCAAGTCTCATCCTGGGCCCCGCCATCGGCCTGGGGTGCTGGCAGCCTGCAG